AGCAGCTGCGTGGTGCTTAGTTGCTGGCAGGGGTTAAACCACAACAGCCTATCTCTCAGAAATCAGATATATTTCAACTTCATCATACATCTTCCTGAACCTTGCAATATTGGCCAGACTCTTAGGCCTGGGTTGAAAAAACAAACCAATTAATCTCCATCTCACCAGATCCATCAATGCTGCCACACCATATAGTTACCTATTAATTATTTAATAACTGGAATTTTGCATGTTTTCTGTGTTTAAATACACTTCTTCCTAGTACTGTGTGAAGGACCCAAATAAACTGTAAGGGAAACAGACTGTGCACAAGCTCTGCCAAACAGTATAAAGCAAACAAGCTGAAAAAATACACCTCTTTCTGAACAATAGCTGGTAAAACATTTACACCCACCATTTTACATACACATGTGCATAATTCCTCTCATGCCTAGGGCTTAAGAAATATATATTAAGTCTCAATGAGCTGCAGACATATCACTGATGCCGAATGGAAAGCTTCACACAATTGCAGCATTCTTAATCAGGTTTGTCGACTTCAATACCATTAAGCGTCACAGCGTAGATGGCAATTACTTCTATTTCTGTACATCGTGAATTTTAGTTCTTTAACATATGTGTACAATATGGTGAAGTTAAGAGTTGCTGTGGGAACCACAGTTTTAGATGTACTGGCTTCTACGCACATAAAATCTCTACCATAATTATTTTGGATCTTGTGTTACCTTTTTTTTTTCCTTGGCTTTAAGGAAAAAACATGCAGCTGCACCTAACTTGCTGCCAAAATACACCGAAACACACAATTTTATGAACTTACTGATTTGTAGGCCACAATCCTTATAGACAAATTAGGACCAATAGTGAGCTGGCAGGGCCAAGCCGTAGGTCGTCTTTGTATTTTCTTAAACACTGAAAGACGCTCCAGGCTCTCTCTAAATGAAGGAATCAGGAAAACAGAAATGAACTCTGCTGAACTGTAATAAAATATTACAGACAATACACTCTCTTCAAGGAGATGCAGGAGTCCAATTCTTTCAGCTTAGACTGCATAAAGCATTAGAAAATAAACTGTATTAATAATCTTGTCATTAACTACTGTCAGAAAAGAAAATGAAAAAAAGAGGTGGTACAGTAGATTATTCCCGTCTTGAGCCTTTGTGATGGTGTGACATTAGGGCTTAAAGACAGTATGTTAGGTCTCACGATGAAACTACACAATTGCTTGTTAAGCATTTTACATTTATCTGTGCTCATCCAATTAGGGCATGTAGTTAGCTGAACAACCCAAATTAGAAAAAGCTTCTCTAAGTGGTAAAATGTTTCTGCAGTGGAGGTGAAGAAATAAAGAATCCAGTTTCAATTAACAGGATTTTGTTTGTGTGGTAATTAACTTTTGACACTGGGTTTTTTTTTTTTTATACGGTACTAATGAACTCATTATTTTCAGGGCATTCGCTTAGAGTGACACAAGTTACTTTGAATATTTGTAGCCTAAAGAGCATATATGCAAGTTCATAAAACACAAAAAAAAAGGAACTGTAATGATTTTATACTAAAGACTGTTAACTCTATTGCACAACTTTAAGCAACAGAGTCCAAAAATTAAAAACTGACAGTAAAAGTAATTTATAATATATTATTGTGAAATCAAATAGGCTTGCACCCCAGCTAATACTAACTGTATCAGCTATTTTGCTATAAAATTCCAGTGGAGAGAAAGCACTCAAAATTTTTTTATCGCATGATGAAGCAAAGATAAAACAGTGTTGACCTCACCTTTTTCACACGATGATAAAACCCAAAATCTACCTCTCTCTTGATTAAGGCACTTGTCTGGCAGAAATTAAGATCAAGTCCTAAAAACATTAGTACAATATTCAACTTGGTATTCTACTTTTCACCTTTCTTAGAATTAAAAAAAAAAAACAAAACCCTGCTCACCCTAAGAGAAGCGCAATGAAAGGAGAAAATGCACTGGGATTTTTATAATGAGATGAACATTGTCTTTCCTTTTTTATTTTATTATTTTTTTTTTTTAGGAAGGAAGGGAGGAAAAATTATTTTTTCTGGCAATAGTGACATCAATATAGGATTTTTAAAAAGAACCTGTTACTACATCATTAAAACTACTGCAACACATACATTCAAGGATGAATGTGAAAATCAAATACCTAAGTGTCAAATGCCTAAAAAGGTCATTTAAGCTCAATTTATTAACTCTATCCTTTCATTTCTTATATTTATAGAAGAAAAATGCTCCCTGTTGTCAAAGAAGACTCAGCCAATAAAACCCTAGTAAATGCATATTTCAAGTTGTATTTCAAAATCTTTGCTCTGCTCTGCTCTCCAATCCCTTTCCCCAAAACCCAAAGGCAGCAGGAGTACATCCTGTCTGACAGTCAGGATATCAAACCTTAAAACAATACAACAAGATTTTCTCACTTACTTTCCTGGCATGACTAATTTATTTTCACAAGAGTTGAAAT